GTGTGTGTGTGTGTGTGTGTGTGTGTGTGTGTGTGGGCGTGCGTGCGTGCGTTCGCGCCAGGCCAATCCGGCAGACGGTATCTCGCGCCTCATTCGTTGAGAACGAACGTACTGCCCATCACCGCCCGGTCGTGAATATCTATAATAATACGTTGTCCTAATGAGTATTTAATGAATGAAGATAGAAATAATCCCATCGCCGAACTTGCGCTCTCAAATTGGTGAGGGGCAAGCCCGGGTGAGATGTGCATGGGAAAATCTGCTCTAATTTTACTTTATCCGCAGAACCCTACCACAATCCTTTTCCTATGATAAAGTACAATGGAATATGGCGCTCGCGTCGCTGGTCGCGTTCCTAGCCAAGATAATTTTGTTCGGCCAAACTTACGCGTTTAGTATGGACAGGGGTATGCCCCGGGGGAGATGAGCATGGTAAAATCCTATGTAAAAATTTCACATAGGCCACAGCATCCCGCCATACAATCCTTATAAACTCATGATACAAGTACTGCGCTGAAGATAAGAACATAATATGTAATATGTGACATAAAAGTGGTTAATAATGACAGATAAGCAAATATGGTAACTTTGTAACTGCGTTTATTATTTAAAAAAGATCCGTTGACAACAACGATACTAGCTCTAGTACCTTAACTGCCGCAGGCTATAACACGCGGGCTATAGTACTAGAGCTACAACGATACAAGATGGCGCCCATAGAGATGTCGGCATCGTATTTACACACCAGTGTGTAACTTTCTTGCGCTTTGATTCAGATCCCAATTATAATATTTATAATAATAACAAAAATAATAAAAATAAAAATAAAGACACATGATAGTTTAAAAATGTAGTATACTCTATAATATCAAGTATAATTATTGATTTTAGAAAACATCATACGCCTCTGTGGATCTGCCCCCCACCCCCCAAAGTGTCTCATGGTCTGGACTCCTCGCCAAGATTTATGTTTTTCACATGAGATTTCTACGTCTGCTCTAATCCCACCATCAATAATAACTTATAAGAGAGATTTTCGCCCTGATTTCCTGAATACTATTATTATTAAATATTATCATGATCTGCTGACCATCTTCGAGCATTCGTCAATATCACATTCGTTACTATCATTAAGCATTTGCAATGCTCGTAGTTCATTCTATGGTCTCATGTTGAGTCCGAGGTTTGTTCTTCATCGTTCATCGCTGGCTTCATCTAATCATCCGGACTGAACATCATCGGCATTATGGGCGACCACGGTCGCCTGTGATTCGACGGATGCTTATCCTCGCACGTGGCGTTCTGAACATGAATAGCTTACATAAATATCTTATCGTGAAGGTCAACTTTGGAGGCAATTATAGTTCTGCGTTGAATTCGTACAGAGATAAAACTTAATAACGGCTATACGAAAAGATATACAACTTTTATTGATAGTCACTTTATTAGTAGTTGTTAATTGTCCAATTCATAGCTGACTTAAGTACTAACTTAGTTTAATCTACTTTCCTGGTTAGTGCCAAGGAAGAACGATATGCAATGTAATGATATGTTTGTGAAGAGGCCTCTTTCAGTTATACAATTAATATAGTTTAAACTCGCTCATAACGTGTTCATTATAAGTTCGCACAGATTCAAGCCTTGGTTTACTTACCATCGTGGAAGTACAACTGCTGGAGACAGGATACGCGCGAGAGCGAGGTGACGAAGGCGC